TTGGCTTCCATCTCTTATTGTCAACCGCATCTTGAATGAGATGAGACAATTTTTCCATGGCTAGAACAAAAATGTAGGGAGATAAAGGATCACCCTGACGAACTCCTCTTGAAGGAAGGAAATCACCTGCAATGGCTCCATTCCAAAGCACTGAGACCTTATCAGAGTTGATACAATTCATTATAATATTTGTGAACCAGTGTGGGATTTGAATTTCATCCAAAATTTTACGAACAAACTCCCAATTTAACATATCATAAGCCTTTTCCAAGTCGATTTTAATTGCCATGAAACATTTTCTTCCTCTCATTCTACGCATTGAATGGATCAGCTCTTGGGTGATGATGATGTTGTCCTGGATATGTCGTTTAGGAACAAAACTAGCTTGGAAGGGAGACACCATCTCTTCCATTAGGGGCTTCATTCTGTTAACCAGAATTTTACTGAGGATTTTATAAATGACATTGCACAAAGAGATTGGTCTGAGCTGCTTAGCACTTTCAGGTCTCTTTACTTTTGGAATGAGGACCAGAAGAGTCGAGTTCACAAGGTGAATCAGATTGGGATTCTGAAACATCATGTTAACATCCTTAATAACATTAGTCTTAATAAGACTCCAATTCTTATGAAAAAAGGCAGCTGGAAAACCATCTTCCCCTGGAGCTTTTGACCCATTGATACTAAAAACAGCTTTTGAAATTTCGTCATCCGAAAGATTACGAGTCAGATTAGATAGCAGATCATCGTGCAGAAGGGGCCAAGTAGTCTTTGATTTCACCCAATCTCGATTAAGGACTTCCTCACTAAACAAGTTGCTATAGAAATCTGTTACCAATTGATGAAGTTGTCTAGCTTCCTTCACCCAAATCCCATCAGAATTTTTTAACTCAAGAATCCTATTCGAACTTCTTCGAGTAGCTGTTTTAATGTGATAGAATTTGGTGTTTCTATCCCCATCATTTATCCATTTCACCCTGGCTTTTTGAAACCATAAGATCTCTTCTTGTATGAGAACCGCATCAAGGTCCTTCCTAACCTCCTTTTCTCTAGATTGGAGAGATAAGTTGGTATGATAATCAACATGATTCTGAATTTCTGCAATACTATGCAATAGGTTAGTCTTCCTATTGAAAATGTTGCCAAAGACTATCTTGTTCCATCTTTTTAAATTTGGAGTCAGATCATGCAGATTCGTTCTAGTGTCTTTCACAACATTCCAGCTCCTAGCCAGAAACTGCGTAAAGTTATAATGCTTCATCCAAGCAATCTCAAAGCGAAAGGGACGATTTTTCCAACCTGTGTCCAAGTTAGACAAGTAGACCAAAATGGGACTATGATCAGAATAAATCCGTGGAAGTACCTTAACGCCAGCATCAGTAAAGGTAGTCTTCCAACTTGCATTAGCACAGGCTCGGTCCAGCCTCTTAAAAACACGATCAAGATGAAGAAACTTCGGACCCTTCCATGTAAACCAAGGACCTGATCCTCCAAGATCCAGCAGCTTGCAATTATGAAGAACATTTGCAAAATTGGAACATCTGTTTAAGTTAACTCTACAGCCACCTTTCTTCTCATCCCGATTTGCTATTTCATTAAAATCCCCAGCCACCAACCACGGCCCATTACAATGGAGACTAATGTTTAGCAGATCATCCCATAGCTCCTTTCTATTTTCTTCCCTAGGACTCGCATAAACTGCCGTGCAAGAAAAGGAAGGAACATGAAAATTCTGAACTTTAAAATGAACAAACTGTTTTGTGTGATTAACAATTTCAACGAGACCAGTCTCATCATTCCAGAGGATCCAAATACCCCCTGAGTAACCTTCTGCCTCTTGAACAAAAGCATGCTTAAACCCAGATTTTCGGATAATGTCAGCAGCTTTTTGACCACTACACCGAGGTTCTAGAATCACTACAATACTAGGCTTATATTTCCTAGTAAACAGAAAAAGCGATTTTTGAAACTGAGGTTTCACTGCTCCCCTACAGTTCCAGAAGAATAAATTCATTAAAAACTATGTTGAACGCAAGACTCCAAGGTTCTTGCATCCTTCATTCTTGAAATATCTTCCTGGTGAACTCTGTCCACCTCCATGCACGTAGAGATGGTTGAGGTTTCAGGATTTTGGATGTCGCTGCTGTTGTCAACTGATATATCAGGACCAGTTTTATGAAATGTGAGATTATAAAGTATAATTTTTTGTTTAGCTTAATTGTAGCACAATCAGAACAAGCATAACAAAAAATTGTCTTAAATAGCAATTATTGACTTTTAACGGAGACAGGAGTCTGTTGCTTCATAGGAACAAAATCTAACACCCCATCTAGTCGCTTTGATTAACAATGCAATAACCAAACAAAACAAACAAATTAATGGCATTAACTTTCCCCACCGATTCTGTTTTGTTCTTTAACTGTATCACATTAATTTAACCATCTTTTAATCCCTAGCTAGGTGAGTCCCACGAGGGAGTGTATCATTGAGCTTACTCATCTAAGACAAAAATTAAGAGAACCAATTAAGCGAAGCGAAGTACAAATTAAATAAACTCAAGTCTAACTGCCTACAGCAGACAAATTTCCTTGGATCCTGAAATGCCAGCTTTTGTGTAATTCTCTTTTGAAATTGAGCTAAATACCAGAGTTGTAACCAAATCAGGTTTCCAAATAGTGATTGTACGTGAAAATAGCCAACGGAGCACGGTGAAACATGTCTGTATCAAGGAGCAAAGTAAAATGATTAATTGAGCGTATCGTTGTTTGCTATAGCCACACGTGACTTAAGGTAGAGCTTTTATGATCTGTTTGCAACTTTGCTTAATTTCATCAACCAAATGAATGAACCTCCAACTCACATGCACACGATCCACTGATCGAGTACAATCTCATTCGCCCTATTAATCTTCTACACGTTAACAACTTAGGTAGAGTCCACTACCAATCTACCTCTTGGATTATAGCAGAAATACAAGACATTTGCAATGTTTATTAATTAATAAAACTTCGATGCATAAATCAAGGATATTACGTAATGCTAAAAAATTTAGTACTCATCAACTATGTCTCATTGTTTTTAAGTATCAAATTGTTATCATATATTATAAATTTTATGTACACATAAATTGACTTCCGAATTGCACGGGAACTTCCATGTCTCCGTGATAATTGATTTTGCTTGAAAATGTAAAAGATTCTAGTATTTATTTTTCCTCCCTAACAACCTCGTTTTTTTTTTGCTTAGATTTTGTATTTTCCAAATTAGAGAGAGAGGTGAAAATTAAATTTCTCCGCATGTTATACGTATTAATTAAATTTACTTGTGTTTTTTATAATTATGTTGATATAAAATTCTAATAAAATAAATAATAACATATTTTCATTGATTTAATTTATAATTTATCATGTTTACTGAAATAAAAAATATAATTTATCATAATCTTTACTGAGTAGTGTTGGGATATTTAAGTGTTGATGAATTTCACGTTAGTTGGTAATGGACTAAGTTAAATGAATATAAGCGGGGGAGACCCATGTATCCAATGTTTTAAGGTTCTGAGTTGAGATGTGGTGTCAAATCCACTTGATATGGTTTGTCTAGCTTAGTCCATTGGTGATGGTTTTCCGTCACAGGCTCCTCCTAGACTCACATAATGGTGGTATCAATTTTGGGTTGGGCTCGGGTTAGCTAGGAGGCAGATTGAGTACTTTGGGCATGGATACTCGGTTGAGCAAGAACATATCAATTTTGGATTTCACACTTGAGGAGAAGATTATTGGGTTATTCTAGTATGATGAATCTCACGTTAGTTCATAATGAGGTAAGTGAAGTGTATATAAGTGGTTGAACCAATGAACTCAATACCTTAAGGTTTTGAGTTAAGATGTGGTGTCAAATCCACTTGATATATTTGATTTACTTTTAACTCATTAATAGTGATCTCCGGTCACTGACTTTCCGTGGACCCGAGTGACAACTAATAACATAAATTCACCCTTTATAATCTCAATTTTAGTTTGCAAAGTAACGAATTTATACTTTTTTTTCGTTTATCCATACCCAGTTTTCTAAAATACTGGGACATGGTAAAATAAATTCGCTCACATAAAATTGCCCACATCTGTATTTACCCGTGCAAAATAATTGGCAATTTAAAGGGAGGGGACACAGCAAATGTACTAACGTAGAGAGACCCAGAATAATTTATAGTAATATAACGAGAGAAGTTTGACAAGTCAAAAATCGCAAATGCCTCCAATGCCAAATCAAATCACAGTTTTCAAAGAATTCTCCCTTTGTTGCCTAGTTAAGGAAAAAAAGCGGGAGATGCAAATGGAAGAAGGGGGCAACAGGAAAGAAGGGCCCCACCAACTCGGTTGAGAATTCAGATATAGGGGCCAAAGGTACCCATCAAAATCCAACCAAAAATGTACGTGTAATTAATTACATCCCCACAATGTATATCTCATCCCTCTTTACTCATCCACACCACCAGTTTTGCTTCAATTTCAATACCTAACGGGGTAAGCAATCCACGTCTATCCCACAGAAATAATTTAGGTACACCCTCGCGGCGAGTCAGTGTGGTGCGACGGATCAATTAAAATGAGGTATTTTATATGATGTGAATACAAATTTTCTGTGATGTGTATAAAAAAAATTTTAATTAATTCAAATATACGGGCTGGATCAGAAATGCTCTCGTATCCATCCTTCAAAAACTCTCCCTCTCTTTGTCAGCGTTCTCAATGACCGTCGATTCATCAATACAATACAATATGTTTTCCCATACCCATATCAGATACATTGAAAAATAAAATTTTGGAATACCAGTGCTTCATAGCCAGATTCGGATGCACAAATCATTGCCCAAAAACCCACTTATTTTTGGTTCACAGCCACCAGAAGAAATCAACCCATATACGAGGTTTCAAATGGCCATTCTACATGGGACAAGAGTTAAAAGTAAAGGCAAAGCAAGTAATTATATAAAAGAGCTATCTTTATTACATATAACTTATTACATACTATAAATCATGCAATGAGCAAGGGATTTTACACAAGCATGGGTATTGGGTAGAAATCTACTAATCTCCCAACACCTTTCTTGCTAGCTTGACTTGAACTTTGCCAATGTAAAACATTGTACCTTACCCATTCTCCCATCTCCATAAAATGACTCACTTATCTTGCTACAACTAATTAATAATATAAAAATAAAAAATAAAAACCTTCCCTAATCTACTGTTCTTTTACTATTTCTCCAACTTACTATTTCTCCAACTAAAAACCAGATCCAAAACGCTGCAATCTTTCTTCCTAAAAAAAGCTGGATGTATTTATTGCAACTAAAGTAGCGCAAACACATTCTTGAATATCATCTTTGTCAAAATCCAAAATACCAAAATCACTATCACAAACTATTGCCTTAAGAGACTATTGAGCCTTCGTTTGTTTCCAACAGCCAAGAGAGCCATCATCAATACGTCCACTCCTGAGGTAGGCGAGTTTCATAGTTGGCCACCTCTTCTTGCCGTACCCTTAATCTCTGCAGCATGAGAATAGCATTTCTCCTAGCCAACAATGCATCTATAAGAAGCAAAAGTTAACCATCAACACACAACCAAACAAGCTTAAAAAAATCACCCTTAAAAGACTTTTTAACTAGAAAGACCCTCCTTACCATAGTTCGGGGCAAAAGCATTAGAGAAACGTGATTGATTAGTTGCATTCAAGTCATCAATGTTCAAGTTCAGACCATGAATCACCTTAGCCGGTGGTAGCATAACAGGTGCACAACCTGACCACAAGAGAACACGCTACACATTAGACACAAGCAACAACCAAAATCGGAGATTTTAAAGAAAAAAGGAAAGAGAGAGAGAGAGGAGCAAGTGATATACTTGTTTTCTTGCGAGAATCTGAAGGGTTATCATAATGACGAGGCAAAAAAACTCCAGTTCCACCGGATCCCCTTTTCACAGAAGATCCACCGGGTAAAACAACCCGCGACCCGGATCCGCTAAACTGAACCGGTCGTTGATTTTGGTTGTGGAGTTGAAGAGGGGGCCACGAAGATTGAGGCAATGACAAAGGGCAAGTACATTTTACACTCTCGTACACAACATTACGCTCTCTGTTTCGTGCCTCTAGCTGTTGCTGTTGTTGTTGCTGAACCAGCCAGTTATTTTTTGCTTGCGTTCCCCAAACCGAACCACACTGTTGCTTCATTTGAAGCTACACAACACAACAAATCAGAAAAAGGAAAAAAAAAGACTTCAAAAAAAAAAAAAAAAAAGGTTTGAAATTTTTACAAGCTTACCTGGTTGAGACTCTGGTTCGAGAACATGTTAACACGAGGGAGACTCAGTAACTCTCTGTTATTCTGAAAATCGAAATCTGTTACTTCACCGTTCATCTTCATCCTCGCAACTTCCCCTGCTGCTGCGTATATGATTTCCCACGGGTCGTTCTTCTCAGCAAACGGCGTCGTTGATGGCGACGGAACACGAGAGAACCCGTTCGGGCTTCCGTCGCCGGAGATAGCACTACGACCCGACCAGCTTCCGATTCCACTCAGCGTGGACTGAGGCGACCCGGACAAGACCCGAGTTTTCTTCTGGCTCTGTCAAAAAGCACAAAGCAAGGTTAAGGTTTGAAGAAAAGAGAAGAAAAAAGTGCTATGAATATTCATGGAAATTTACAAAAAAAAAACGTTACCTCATTAGGTTTGTCCCTTGCGCTGATAGGTTCAGTAATGAGTTGCTTCCGAGTTTCGTGAAGCGACGACTGACTCAGTCTCCGAGTCAAGCCTGCAAAGAAGTCCTCCTCCTCGTCGCTGCTCTCGGTCCCCGTCGACCCCGCCGGCGACGACAACTCGAACTCGTAGGGGAACTCGGAAGGGAAGACCAGCGCAGCATCAAAATCGGCGTTGACAACGTTGTTTTTGTTTTCGTTGACGTTGTTGCGGTTCTCATTGTCTGCGAAGAACTGCGACGGAAGCCAGAGGGCTGCTGCATCATCATAAACGGCTTTAGCCATTTCTATTTCGAAGGGATTAAGGAACCGTTGCGATTTGTGAAGGTGATGGTTGAGAAAGATTTAATAATAAATGACCGGGTTGAGGTTGCTGGGTTGAAGGCCCAGTAACCCAACAAAGAGAGGATGAGAGAGAAAAAGAAAGATAGTGAGAGAGAAAAATGAGCAGTACTAGTTAGTGGGGGGAGTTGTATAGCATAGAATGTTGAAGACAATCTGCTTTTATTAAGGTTTCAGGGTCCCTTAAAGGCACTCTCTTAAAAATTTAAAATTTAAAAATTATAATATAATTTGTATTGAAATAAAGAAAAAAGAGAGGGAGGTGTACTATTTGAGAACAACTGGAACAATGGCCCAGTGGTTGGAGACATTTGTCTCTCTGATTGTATGCAACCCACTTGCCATTTGTCCACTCCACCGCACACCCTAATCTTTAATTAATTAACCAATAACCACCACGACTTAATAAATTTTGACCATACCATAATAATATATCTTTCTATAAGATGTGAATTTTAGATCCTCTGGTTCTTCTTTTGTCTTTTGAAATCAAATTTCAAATTTTTTGGTTTGTGCATTACGAGGGGATTTAGTATTCAAAACCATCTTCTTCTTTTTTTCTCTAATTGCTTTTGGGTATGAAATGAGTACGAGATAATTTTATCTCATCCAACACAAAAAAATATAGAGATGACAATTTGGGTTAAATCCAACGGGTCAACCCGCCAAAACGGAGCGGGTTGGATTATATTTTTCAACCCATCAACTCACTTCAACCTACCCCGCTTAGTTGTGGGTCAAAACGAGTTGACGGTGGGTCGAGGCAGATTGGCCCGCGGGTCAATTTTTTTTTACTAATAAATAGTATTTTATTTGTTGCTAAGCTTTTGTGATATGAAACTTTTTTATCTTAGTACTTCCCTAGAAAAAATAAAGAAGAAAAATTTTATTTACTACAAAGGTTATCTATATATTGAGGCAAAAATAAATTCCTAAAAAATATTTGACTGAATATTAATATACATTTAGGTTTGAGATTGAAAAAAATACTAAAAGAATTCTGAAATGAAAATAAGAAATATTATAAAATTACTAAAACATAATTTATTTTAAATTTTTAATTATTTTTTGTTTTTTATGCGAATTGACCTGTCAACCTACCACGAAATGGGATGAGTTAAAATTTTAAACTCATATCAAAATACGGGTTGACAGCGAGGCGGGCCGACCCATTTTACCTGCTCTAAAAAAGTGACAAAGATTTACTAGGAAAATAAAGTAAATTTCATTCCCTATCCGGGTTTACATTTTTAGGTTTCTGACTCTTATTTTAAACTATTCATAGTGTTAAAATTTGAATAGTGATGGACCTGCCGCCGGTGCTTGCTTTTATTTCAAGTTTTATGTAAATTCAAAATATGGGTGGGGTCGTTTTATATAACGGTGATTTGGACAATATTCGAATTAAACGAAGATTGACTTTTTGTTTGATGGGAAAATGAAAATAGGCTAACGCAGATGCACGTTGACACCGGCATGTGCACGACGCACGCATATGGATATGATTCATTTTGGACCTTTATTATTTTTTAAATTGGTACAATGATTCGTAATTATGGCTTTCTCAGCGTATTATGTGATGTAACTATTTGAATTGGTAATTCTCCACGATTATATGATCTGAAATATAATGATTATATTTTTCGCTTGTGACATATCCCTTGACCTTATCTTTGTAATTTGCTTGTGAAACTGGCAAATTGCTTATTATTTCAAGCGCAAGGGATAAGAATGAGCATTATACATCATTGAAAAGAATCATATCCAATGCTATTCAATTCGTGGTGATACCACAACGATGTTTCTCTGTTTCCACTCATACAGGTTCTAAGCAATCGTTCCTGTCTGCATACTCGTACAATTTTGCCAACATAATATTCACATATTTCATAGAAAATTAGATTGTGAAAGATTCTCAGGATTGGATAATTCATTGTTTACATAATATTCATCGTCGTATTGGAACATTAAGTTGAGAGCACAAATAGAGTGTATAGTCTAGAACCTTTGTTAGATTAAGGGGAGTTCAAAGCATAGAAACTATTATGGATTAGTGAAAATCCATCACAATAAAATCACATAAATGGGCTCAATATTATACTTCAACCAAAAATCTTAAAACAATTAGTTTACTAACCCAGTTACTTATATGATCCTTACCTATTTTTAAAAAGTTTACAGGTTGATAAGAGGAGTTGAAAACACTGATAGGAGATGTTCACCAATGGATTAAATAAGATATCAAACCATAATAAAATAATCTACCACTATATCTTAATCCAAAATTTTAAAAGATTAAATTCATAGATTATTTTACTTGTATTATCCTTACTTAATTTTTTTCCAATTGATGCGAGACTTAATTTCTCCTAACTCACACATAAATTTCCATCAAAACTTCTCATAAACTTTTTGTTTAAGGAGAACAAAAAAAAAAAATTGAAGTCCACAAGCACAAGTTTGCTTATCAAGCCTTTCGAGGCCGGCAATTATCAAAATTTTATAACCGAATCCAAACTTCGGCGCTTGATCAAAAGATTAATAATAGTTTGTGGTTTCGAAGAACATTAGTAACACATTTTTTTAACGATACTTTTTTAAAATCATGTACACTATTTATTAGATGAAATCTCATATAACCCTATAAAATAACATGGTTTATTTTTTTATTAATGGGACTAGTACAAACTTTTATAAAATAAAATAAAAAGTGTCGAAAACTTATTAAAAAAAATCTTATTGGTATTTTTATCAGCGATTGCTCCGTGCACTTTTATCAGTTAATGACTTTCAGATTAATTTGTCGACGGAATACATCATATGCTATGCCAATTTTGGTGGGGCAGAAAGATTAATTGGCAAAAGAAGTTAGCATGGCTGAATCTCTTGGATGGAAGGAAAGTGGTAGAGCTATGTTTTCATGGAAAGGTGGGTAATAGAAAATTAGCAATTTCATTAATTGTGTAATTTTACAAAATTATTGGATCCCGCCGTTATATCTTTTTTGCATCATGCATAGACTTTTTTATTTCTTTTTTTAATGAGAAAAACTTTTTTCATTTTGTAGGAAAAAATAAGTTATCTCCTACTCAAACAAAGATGTGAGGCCATCATTCTTTTTAAAAAATAAAAAATAAAAAAATATTTGACACAAAATTCAATGTGAGTGTAGGAAGTATTTCTTCTCTCCTATAAAAAGAGACAATCATTGTCCATATATCCTTAACCGGTTTATCCGTTAGATTATATTCGGTTCAAGCACTTATAAAATCACATTAAAAAGAGTAGCTCTCTCAAATTCTCTTTTCATTCTCAAGAATCGAACTGAATTGAGATCATGCGTCAACTTAGTTCCAGCTGTATTACTTTATTTAGCTGATAGTGCATGCACAATGAAATTCAAAGCTCGTTCACAATATGTTTAGTGCTGGTTTTTCTAACAAAATGCTTTGTATTCCCCTATTTTTTTATAGACCAGCGTATGAAACTTCAGGTCTATTTGATTGCATTCTATATTTTTTTGTTCGTAAAACTGTTTTATAGAATAATTAATGAAATGTGTTTTTTGTTTTTTTAAAAGCTAAAAATCAAAACACAAAATAAAAATAACTTAATATATTCTCTAAATTTTATTTTTAAAACTGAAAAATAGTTATAACTTTCAGAACTTTTTACAAAATAAGCCTTATCAAACAAGTTTTTTTTATTTTTTATTAAAATAAAAAAATATTTTTTAAAACAGTATTCAAATATGCCCCACAATTGGGATTTTCATCATCTCATCAGTTTATTTATTTTTTAACATGATACTGTTATATATATTGTGATATATGGAATGAAAAAAACACTAATTATATTTGTACTTTATTAAGGAATTAATTTAGTGAATTTCTAAAAAATAATTCGTCTATTTTTTTTCATTGCGTGAAATTATATTTTAATATAAAAGATGATATAATCCCTTTAATAACAGCTATTCTTCCTTTGTACAGGTTGGTTATGACGTTGCTTTTGAGGTTTTCCCGCTCCTACAAATGTATTGCTGTCTTATATGACAAATGGTGGTTTGTGAAATTCAATTTGTATTTTCCAAAACAAAACAAAAAAAAAATTCAATTCAATTTGTACCGTGGAAAGGCCAAGATATGAGTTTTCAGGATACAAAAAAAATAAAAAAAATGAGTTTTCATGTGGAGCATGGTCCCTGATAGCTTGCAGTTGCTAGTGAGATCTTTAACATGGACACCGACATATCCACACCCATGTTGTGGATATTTGCCCAATTGGTGCTGCTGAACATGGTGATCATTTTTTGTTAACGTGTCTGCGAACTCTGCAACTATAGTCCTTTTTCCAATCTCATTTGGTTTACTTCCCATCTCTTCCCCAATTTATCTTTTCTTCATAATTTGACCTCTTCAAATAGCTCATACCAACATATGACCACATTGATTTTGCTTTATTTTTATTTTAAATATTTTTTTTAAAAAAAGTGTGTGCTACTGCTACCTACAAATTAAGATAAACAAATTAAATTTAAATTTCAATAATAACACTAAAAATAAAAAACAATTATTATTATTTTCGTATTACCTAAATATTTAAGTTTAAAATTGATGTTGGAGTCGTGTTCTGCTCTGTCAACAACAGTTTAGATCCAACATCGAATGTTGCTAGAAAAATAATTCGAAGAGTTTCAGATTTTTAAAGGGCAATTTTTTGTCATTTTACATGAGATAGTATTGTCTTGCGTAGAGACATAATTAGGTGAGTCTCACAATAAAAATAAATTAAAAAATAAATAAATGTTGTCTCGAATTTTGATGTGTGTGTAACATGAGATAAAATTTCTCATATAAAATGAGAAAAACATTTCCCATTTTTAAAACCAGAAAAATATTTCTGCAGTTAGTGCAGATAAGTTATCTACGTTTATTCTCAAAACGACATTGTTTTGGGATTGAAACATTAAAAAATTATAATTATAAAGACTATAATAATCCTGTAATAAATTAAAATTATAAAAATACCATGATTTTCACCCAAAACGACGTCGTATTGGACTTACTGCAAATAACTTATCTCCAGTAACTGCAGAAAAAATGAACCCTTTTAAAATTTA